TTTATTACCTCACCATGGAAATTATAGAACATTACTCCTACCATCTTCTAGTAGAGACAAGCCACTAGGGAAGATAATTAGCCTCCCCTTTTTGAAGTGAGGATCATCAAGATTTTGTTAACTTGTTATTTATTTGTTTATTTTAATGTTGAGGATGGAACCCAAGGCCTCACAGGTACTAAGCAAGTAGGTGCTACTTCTGAACTAACATCTTCAGCCCTGTGAACATTTTTTAAAACCACCCAGTTCCTGTTTTCTGGTTCCCACATGCCGGATAGATACATTTAACTCCCAAGATTCCCTGGAATTGTCATCCCTTTACCACATGCGCTCAAAGTTCAAGAGCATTTAAATCAGGTCCAGATACGGTTGAAGCTCCTCAGGTCTCACAGTGTAGCCCCGGCTGGCCTGGAACTCACTATTTAGCCCTGCTGGCCTCAAACTTGCAATACTCCTGCCTCTCTGCCTCCCAATGCTGGGGTTGCAGCCTGCATACCATGCCTAACTCCATTTCATACTTTTTGTACTCCATTATGGGTAATTTCTTTAAATCTGTTTTCCAGTTTGTTACTTTGCTCTTTGTCTGTATCTGTTGCTTAATTTGCTCGTTTTTCCTTCTGTTTCTAGTTTTGAAAATGCTGTTTGGTCCTTTAAAAAAATTTTTTTTTGTTAGTACTGGGATTTGAACTTGGCCTTATGTTTGCTACACAGGTAGCCTACTGCTTGAGCTACACCCCCATCTTAACGTTTATTTTTTTTTAAAGTTCAAGTTTTTACTTTAATGCACTTTTAAATCAACTGAGTTTTATGGAAAATGAACTGGCAAATAAATTAGACCCATGTTAAAACAGAAGGTCAAAGCTGGACATGGTTGCACAGGCTTGTAATCTCATCCCTTGGAAGGCCAAGGCTAGTCTGGGCTACATGAGACCCTGTCTTGGGGAAAAAAAGTGGCCATTTAAGTGTCCAAACTTAAGAATATTATTTTTTGGGGTGTTAAACTCAGGACTTCATGCTTGGAAAATAGGCACTCTACCACTTAAGCCATACCTCTTCAGTCCATTTTGCTCTGGTTATTTTTTTAAATTTTATTTTATCATTTTTATATTTACTTACATGTGTATACATTATTTGGACAACCCCATGGCCCCCTCCCATGCTCTGATTATTTTGAATATGGGATCCTGCAATCTGCTACCCCTGCGTCCTCCCTATCTCAGCCTTTCAAGTAGCTAGGATTATAGGCCTGAGCCACTGATGCCTGGTCAGTCTTTTCTTTTAAGAAGATCAAGTCTTTTAAACACAGCTTTGTTATAAACTGATCCAGTGATCAGCAGCATTTGGGGATGCTTGGTAAGGGTGGTGATGTTTCTTTGGTGCTCTTTTGATGACGTCTACTGGTAGAATCATCTGCTTCAGTTACACTCATAAGAAGTCATTGCCAGCCAGCCAGGCGTTGGTGGCTCATACCTCTAAACCTATACTACTTGAGAGATAGAGATCAGGAAGTTTGTGGTCAGACTGGGCAAATAATTTGAGAGATCCTATCTCGAAAATACCTAACACAAAAAAGGGTTGGCGGAGTGGCTCAAGTGGTAGATCACCTGGCTGGCTAGCTTGAGACCCTAAGTTCAAACCCTAGTACTACCAAAAAACCAAAAACCAAACAAACAAAAAGAAGTTGTTGCTTTATATGGAAATTTTTTTTTGTGAGACTGGGGTTTGAATTCAGGAATTCATGCAGAAACTTCCTGTTAAATCCACTGTTGCCATATGTCCAATGTCATATTCCCTTATATTCAGCCCAGTTGTTGTATTGCCTTTACTGAGAAGCTCAGAGCTGTGTCGTTAAATGTGCACTGTCATAACCTACATTGTCAGCTATTACAGTTGGCAACATTGACAGAGCTTTAGTACAAGGGTCCATTGCAACAACTGCTTTGCCCTCTTATTTGCAAGCTGTGTCACAGCATGAACCATCATCTCAAAACAGCCGAAACAGCTTCCTCCATAAACTGTTCTAGAGTCTTTCACAGTTTGGACATGAACACAAAGAGCATCAAGCAAAACTTTTCCTGCTTCATCTGAAATTTGTTAATTGACCATCATGCAAAACAGTGGTATAGGCTTCATTCACCAAGGACAATCCTGGAAAGTTAAATGAGTTTGTCTTGGCTGGTAGAGTGGCTCAAGCGGTAATAGCGCCTGCATAGCAAGTAAGAGGCCCTGAGTTCAAACCCCAGTGCTGCTGCCGCCTCCCTCCCATCCGCTAAAAAAATGAGTTTGTCTTTATCAGTCATGACTTTCTCAATAAGCTTTTGCAAATTTTTTTAAAATTTTATTTTTATTGTTGTACTTGGGTACATGTGACAGTTATAAAAGTTCTTACAATATATCATAGTTGAATTCACCCCTCCATCATTCTCCTTTATTCTCCCCTCCACCCATTCCTGGAATAGTTTCAACAGGGCTCATTTTTCTATTTACATACAACTTGCAGCTTTCAAGCTTCACTAATTCTTGATGGCTAGAAGTAGAGGCAGGCCGGGCACTGGTGGCTCATGTCTATAATCCTGGCTACTCAGGAGGCAGAGATCAGAAGGGTTGTGGCACAAAGCCAGCTGGAACAAATAGTTCTTGAGACCCTATCTTGAAAAAAACCAATCATAAGTGGCTCAAGTGGTCTAGAGCACCTGCCTAGCAAGCATGAGGCCCTGAGTTCAAGCCCCAGTACCAAAAAAAAAACCTGTCTAGCAAGCATGAAGCTCTGAGTTCAAATCCCAGCACCACCAGAAAAAAAAATGTAGAGGCAACCATCGACAACAAGTTAAGTGTCCTGTACTTGCAAAACTGCATGCTCAATAGTAGTGCCATCAGCAGCTCCAAAGAGATGTTCAGGATAATTATATATTAACTGTTTGTGGAGCAGTTTATTTCATGCTTAAGAATATGTTCCTTTGTGAGTGCCTGCTTTGTAAGCTTGAAGCCCTGAGTTCAAACCCTAGTTCCACAAAAAAAAAAAAAAAGTTTAACTTTTTCTCTTTTTTTTTAAGCATTATTAAGAATCCAATCTAGGGCCTCATACATTATAGGCAAGTGTTCTACCACTGAACACCTTAGTCCATAAATGCAGATTTGTGTGTGTTTATGTGTGTGTGTGGTGTCATAATTTGAATTCAGGGCCTTGTTGCACTTGTTAAAATGGTCTACACTTGAGCTACGCCTCCAGCTCTTTTTGCTGTAATTAATTTTTTAGATAAAAGTCTCTTGGACCTTGATCTTCTTACCTCTGCTTGTCTTCTCAGACAGCTGGGATTACCAGCATGTGCCACTATGCCTGACTTGTTTTCCTTTTTGTAGCTTAGCTTACTTTTCACATAGATCTGCAGTTAGATTTGGAAGAAAATAGGAGAAATATGAAACTCAAGGAATTGCAGCAAATGAGCAGACAAGATTAATGGATTTGACAACAGATGAGATAAAGCAAAATCAAATTTGAGAATTACTTATAGTCAATACTGGTAACTTTCTTGTTTTGCATTCTTAGACTCCAAAGCCTCCTTTGCTTCCCCCTATATTTAAGCCATCTTTTATCTTGTCAGCTTAGACCAACTATGCTTCCCAGAATTCCCTTTTCTTTTTTTGGCGGTACTAGGGTTTGAACTCAGGGCCTCACACTACATAGGGAAGCAATCTACCACTTAAGACACTCTGCCAGCCCTATTTTGTGTTGAGTATTATTTTGAGACAGATAGCTTATTGTACATGTGTCACATTGGACTATGGCTGAGAACAGAACTAGTCCAGAATGCCACAGGTCCAGGGCAAAGGACCAGCAGGGAAAGTTTGGTTATGAGCAAGGTGGGTCTCAGAGCTGGTCATGAAAGCTCAGATCCATTGAGACAAATTCTAGACAGTAGCATGCAGTTCAACAACTTGTACTAACATCTTGGCTTCTGGCATTCCTTATTCCTACTTCTCTGGCCTCTACAGCTGCAAAAGCTGTTTACTTGGACCTCTGCCTCATCTTTCTTCTTTTGTGCTTCAGCCTATGCATTTGCTTCTTCCTCTACTTGCTCGTATGGTGCAAAGATGTCCAAGAAGATGGTGCTAGGGCCATGAGTGTGTTGGGTATTTTTGAGATAGGGTTTTGTAAGCTATTTGCTCTGGGCTGGCTTGGAACTGGAATCCTCCTGATCTCTGCCTCCTGAGTATCTAGGATTAAAGGTGTGAGCCATTGGCTCCTTGCTTTTGTATGCTTTTAATAAAGTTGGGCACAAGAGAGATTATTGTGGGAGAAATGAAGCTACAGCGATTTTGTAGTTTGTGCACATCATTTGCTTATCTGTTGACTCAGTTCTTTATATTGAGGCAACTTCTAAGACTGCAGCTGTTCTACCTTTTTCCTGGATCCTTCAGCTTTGTTGATTCCTGGGTCAGGTGTGTTTAGCTGTTTGACAGAAGGGCCAGAGGGCCCCAGTTCTGCAGGGCGTGTACACCATCAAGGTGTCGAGGAAACAAAACTAAGAGTTCAGTTTGTCCTTTTGACTTAACTTGTGTATTTTAGCTTGCGCTTCCCCCCCTTACTTGCTGTTCACCATATGCATCTTCCCTCCCAACTCCCGTCCTGTGTATTTTAGGCTCCTGCATCAGATGCAGAAGACAGCAACTTTTGCTGACTTCTTAATCATCTGTTACAATTGCATAAGGGCAAATCTTGTGCATGTGTGCTTGTGTTTATGAATGTGTATGAATGAATGAATGAGTGAGAAAAAGAGACAGACGGACTGGTGACCTGGTGGCTCTGTTCTCTTTCTTTTTTTTCCACACAGGCTTTAAAGAGAAAAATCTGTGTTTTCATTGTTTCCTCCCCCTTGTTTCCTTGCATATTTTGAAGTTGCCTTGTTAGAAGTTCCTTCTTGGTTAGATTTAGGTTGTGGAGATCCTGAGACCCTAGATTGGTGATATGCTCTTTCATTGTAGGTTTTTGCTTTTTTCAGGGTTTCTTGACCACATGGATGCTACAGATTTGAATTATAGACAAGTAAGAACAAGGCAATGATATCAGATTCTCTGGGTATACTGATCTCCTTCCAAGTTTCCTGGTAAGCCCTCTTTCTTGGCAGATGGTTTTTTTTTTCCTAGATCTCTTTTTCATTTGTGATAGAAGCCACTATTAGGGTCCTAGCTCACTGCAGGAGTATTAGATCTGTTTTGTTTTGTTTTGTTTTTTACTTTGCTGTGGCCTAAATTTTAATCTCCTATTCTCAAACTGGTATTTTGCCCTGAGGCACCTCTGGTATTTCCAAGTTGTCTATACTCAGGTTTTTGCTCACTATTTTGTGTGTGTGTGTGTTGGGGGGAGGGGAGGATGTGAGGTAGTATTTTAAGTATTTTTATTTCTTTTTTTTGGCAGTACTGGGGTCTTGAACTTGGGTCTTACACTTGCTAGGCAGACACTCTACCACTTGCACCACATCTCTAACCCTCTTTTTTTCTTAAAAATAATTTTCTCTTCCTTTCCTTTCCCTTTCACTTCTCCCTCTTTCTTTCTCCCCCTTTCCTTTCTGTTTCTGTCCTGTCCTGTCCTCCTTCCCTTCCTCCCTCCATTCCTTCCTTCTTTCCTTTCTTCTGTTTCTCTCTCCCCCCTCTTCCCTTTTGGTGATAGAGTTTGATCTCAGGGCCTCTTGCTTGCTAGGTAGCAAGAGGAGCAGTTTGAGCTACACCCTAGCCTGTCTTACGTTCTTGATAGTTCAGCAAAATAAAAACATTTGTTGTATTTTTTCTAGGATCTGGTTGCCCTCTTTGGATAGCATGCACACTTGATACTCTAAAGTATCCTGCCAGCATCCATGCACTTGTGGCATAGATTAAGTACTGACTATTTTTTCTTTTTGGTGGAACTGGGGTTTTGAACTCAGAGCCTTATGCTTGCTAGACAGGCACTCTTATCACTTGAGCCTTACTGCACGCCAGCCTAATAATAGGCTTCTTAAACTGAGTGAAAATACAAAGTGTCTTATAGGTTCTGCCATTTTAGTGCTTTCTCTTTTCCCTGTCATCTATGAGATGCTACATAAAATACAGTTGAGACCACAAGAGAAGACAGTGCCAATTGCACTGAGCTGCACCAGCTTGCTATCGTCAGCAGAGCTCTGTTCAGAGCACTTAATAAGTCATTCTCTGATGATTTTGTGGCTAACACGATAGAGATGAAGCTGTCTTTCTTCCTGATAATATCTTTGTATCTGTAGGCACTCTCTGTTTGCCTCATACTGAAACACAACTGTTTGTTAAAAAGCTGGTCAATAAGTTTCCAATTCCCTGCTGTCACTCCTGTAACAGATACCTGCTCGTTGGTTGTTCCATTGGCTGTCTGTGCCTCCACGAATGGAGATGTACCTTTTCCTTTAACAGCTAAGCCTACAGCTATGGCTGCAGTCATGGAGTCACGGACCTGAGGCATTAATGGGTATATTTAAGTATTGCTTCTAATCCTGGCTCGCTTTGTACCAGTGGGCTTCTCTGCTGCCATCTCTGGCACCACTCTGTCTTCTGGACCCTGCTTAGTCAGTGGTGTGTGGTTTTTTTGGGGCTGTTGCTCTGAAAGCCATCCACTGAGGTCATCCTTTTTTTCTTTGGTACTGGGGTTTGAACACAGGGCCTCTGCATGCTTGGTAGGCAGATGCTCTACCATTGTCCCCAGCCTTAAGATCTTGCTCTGAATGTAGCTATTAGGCACAAATTTCTTTTTCTTTTCTTTTTTTTTTTTTTTTTTTTTTTTTTTTGTGAAACTGTGGTTTGAACTCAGGGCTTCATACTTGCAAAGCAGGTACCCTACTACTTGAGTCATACACTTCCAGTCCATTTTGGTCTGGTTATTTTGGAGATGGGGGTCTCGAGAACTGTTTGCTTGGTCTGCCCTTAAACTGTGATCCTCCCGATCTACATAGCTAGGATTACCGGCATGAGTCATGGGTACCCAGCTAGGTACAACTAACTTCCTCCTTCCCTCCCTCCCTCCCTCCTTCTCTCTCCCCCCTCCCCTTCACTGGGGTTTGAACTCAGGACTTCACACTAGCAAGGCAGGCACTCCACACTTGAGAACACACTTCCAGTCCAACACAACTTTCTTGATACTTGAGGTCCATGTTCTTTCTGCTTAAGATAGATGGGGCTATGTTTTTCCTGAATTTCTGGCTGGCAGCAAATAACTTGTCTGTTTTTGAGCTCATGGTCTCTGACAACCATTAGCACTGTTGGTGGACCTGAGATTTGTTTTCTGACATTGTTGGGAGAGGTCCTGTTTGTGTGGGCCAGATTGTACTTATTTTGTCTCTTGCTGAAGCATCCATTGAATGTATGGATGCTGCTTGGGCCCTATATTGCCCTTGCTATCATAGCCTTTCCACAGAGGCGTATACTCTGCTTTCCCTTTTTTGTTTTTCCTTTTGTTAACAGTCTTTTCAATGGTTTCAGTCCATCAAGGTGGGGAGGGCGGTGTCTGTGAAGCAGAGTGAGTGAGATCTATTGGAGACTCTTGAAATATCTAGTTAGGATTGTATTAGATCAGGTTATATGACTGTTAGGTATGAGAGACTTATAGGGAATACTATTCTACTTTCATTAGGAATTGTAGGTGTGACTTGCCTAGTAAGTGGTAGCAGAGTGCTTGCTTAACAGGCGCAAGGCCTTGAGATCAAACCCCTGTACCACCTAAAAAAAACAAGACAAAACAGATTGGTTACTTTCACCAGAATGACGATACTAAATGACTAAAACCAAAGTAACAGCAATGCTGGTTTTCATGAAGATGTGAAGGAGAAATTCAGATGGTGGGAGGGCAAACCGATAAATCATTTTAGAAAACTTTCTACTAAAGCTGAACATAAGCATATTCTATGACCTAAAAAGCTAGGAGTTGTATTAACTCCTAGATATATATATATATATATATAAACATTGTAAAATAAATACAAGTGTTCACAAGAAGACATGTATATAATTTTTCATAATATATTGTTCATAATAGCACAAACTGAAACACAACAAAAATGCTCATCAAGAATAGAATGGAGCTGCTGGCTCATTCCTGTAATCCTATAATTCCTGCTTGAGAGGCTGAAATCAGGAGGATCAAGGTTCAAAGTCAGCCTGGGCAAGAAAAAAAGCGAGACCCCATCTTAACATGTGCACGCACGTATGTGCATAGTGGCCTATGTGGTAGCGCACCTGCCTAGCAGGCATGAGGTCCTGGGCTCAAATCCTACTACTGCCAAAAAGAATTTAAGTATTGAAAGCAAGAGTATGTTCACATGAAAGGTTCACTGGTCCTGTAGTGTATTTCCTCTATACTTTTTATGTTTGATGTTTCTTGGTACAAGTATAGACAGATTATTAATACCAATTTTAAATAAAGTCAAAGATGCAGTGATCTTGGATAAAAGTCATAAATTATGTTCAAAACATTGTGTTCTTTTAAGGGAGATTGAGATAAGCCCTAGTACATGGTATTTTAAACTAGGTTAGATAAGACAGCAGAAGATGTCCTATTTGAATCAATCCTGCTTTGCAAAGGAGTAAGTACCTCTAAGGCTGGTTTTTTTTTTTTTTTTGTTGTTGTTGTTGTTAGTTTAAATTTCTATGTCACGGCAAGTATTAAAGCCACTGATGGGCAGAAGTTTTCTTGTTTTGTCAGTAAACATTGACTATATCAAAGGGATTTTTTGTTCCTAAGTGGAAAGCCGTATTTAGTTTAGAATATTGCTTGTGCAAGAGTATAAGCTGCAATTTATGATGCTCTAATACTGTAGCTTTTTCATGTGGAACAGCAGTATAAGTTCAATGGTTCATATAAGTTATGTTTGAGGCATTAGTTGCTTGCATTTCTTAACAGTTCTACAGTGGTGAGAAAAAAATTTCTGGAAGTGCTAGCAGTTTGAATGTTCTTTGTTTTTGTTTTTTTGTTTTTTTTTCTTTTTGTAGTAGTGAGGTTTCAATTTAGAGTCTTGCATTTGCCTACTACTTGAGCCATCCCCTACCCCTAGCCCCATAATGTCCCATTTTTATATGTCTAGAACAGAATCTTGCCATAAAAACAGTAATATTGATGATTTATTGTAATGCTATGGGAGTTGCAAATGGCTGCTCTACCACTGAGCTACATTCACATCTGAGAAACAATATTACTTAATGGTCTGTGTTTATGTCAATCAACTTATGTTATCTACTTGTGGTTTTAACGGAAAAATCCCTGTGGCAATAGTAAACTTGTAACATTAGATGACTTCAATTTGTATTTTGTCACAACAGAAAGTACATTGCTGTTTTGGTTTATTCATTTTAATGGGAGTGTCATGTTATTATAATGGTGTTAAAGGGTGGTTAATGATGATTGTTACTAAGGGTGTAAAATTGAAAGGGATAAAGACAAGCATTCTTATGTTCTAGTGCTCAATGATTTTATTTGTTGCTATGTCAAAACTTTCAGGAGGGTTTCCTATAGTGGTTGGTCTTAAGTAAGACTCCATTAATCTTGGTCTTTTCTCATAATTCTACAGGAAGTTAACCATCTAAGAAGAACTTTTAGAGAAGAAAGGCTTCTCTGTGTATCTTATGAATATTGTCTTTTTTCTCTAGAGATAATTCCTTGCCTATTACTTTATGCATGAAAGCTGTAGATTCACATCTTTTTTTTTTCTTTTTTTGGAGGTGGTACAGGTGTTTGAACTCGGAGCCTTCTATCTTCCTAACAGGTACTTGGGCCACATCTCCACCATCAAGGTTCACATCTTTTTTATGTAACTGTTAGTGTCTTGTCTCTTCTGAGTTGACTATGCTTTCTTCCTGGATGTACTCACCCACCACCTGTTTTTGTATTGATGTTTCCAAATCTATATCCTTGCATCCCTGCATTGGACCCAAAGCCTTGTCTGTATTAGGCAAGCACTCTACCACGAGCTACATCTCCAGTCCACGTATTTCTTTTCTTTGAGAGTTTTAGTCTTTTTTTTTTTTTTCCTTGAGTCAGGATCTCACTGCATAGCCCAGATGGGCCTCGAACTAACAATCCTCCTGGATCATCCTCTGGAGTGCTGAGATTACAGGCTTGAACTGTCATGCTTAGCTGTTGCAATACTTTTTTCTTTCCTCTTTTTTTTGCAGGGGGAGGGAGCATATTGGGCTTTGAACCCAGGGCTTTATTTGTGCTTATAAGGCAGACACTACCACTTGAGCCATGCCTCTAGCGCATTGGGATTTTTTTGGTGGTGGGATTTGAACTCAGGGTTTCACGTTGCCAGGCAGGTGCTCCACACTCTGAACCATGACTCCAGGCCTGTAGCAAACTTGAAGCTCACTGTATTCGTAATGTATCACACTTTTACACATGGGTAACTATTCCCTGACATTTTGGTAACCAGTCCTCTGCTTCTTAAAGAAGTTTTAGTGTAAAGTATCTCTACATAATGTGTTATTTCATTTTGCATGGCTTTGAACTTGTTGTACCTTGAACTATATCTTTCTTTGTCCAATTTTTTTTGCATTGACCCATATTGATTTAGTTATTATTTATTTCCACTGTTACTTGCTTCTTCATTGTAGCAATGTATCACATTTTTTTCCCATGTTTTTGTTTTGACTATCACAGAACAATGGTGCTACAAGCATTACTTGTGCAGGATTCTCTAGACAGTACTTTTCAAGCTTCGGGTTGCTGTTGTACTCGTTTGTTGTGAAATCAATTTACTGAGACAAGAACTATACTAGCTTTTTAAAATATATAATAACAAAAATATCTTAATGTAATACATATTTAAAAGTTAGTTTCTTTTTTCTTGGATGTCACAAAAAGAAACCCCAAACTCCTAAATTACCCCTTGTTTCCTGCATACTAATCTTTGGAGAAAGCACTGTACATTCCTGTTCTGTTTCTTCCTCTTCTTCTTCAACCCTCTTCCACTTTGGATCTGTAATCCATAATTCATCGTCAGCAAAAATCACCAGTAATGTATTCTCAACCTTTTCTGTACTTTCTCTTTACCTTGTTACATTAACAGTAACTCTGAGGACACTGCTTCACAGGTTGTTTTTTTTCTCCTGTAAGCCTCATCTACTGTGTCCTGGAGGAGGGAGCAGTTAGTGGTTTTCCTTTTCCTCATTGACACTTTTCTGGTAATTTTTCTTTTCCTCCTCTAAAATAAATACTATTTTGAATCGGTTTATTATTCTTGTATGATCCTTTTTTCATTGCTTACTCAGTTCTGTGAATAATTTTTCTGTGATGATGATGATGATGTCTGCCATCCTACCTTAGTTACTCCTTCTGTAGTCTTACTCTAGCCACCGTTCTTTTTGACTTTATTTTACTGTAATGGCAGTTCTACTTTCTGTTAAATGCTATTTATTCCTCCTGCCCCCACCACCTTTTTTTTAGTGCCAGGGATCAACCCAGGGCCTTGTACATCCTAAGCAAGTGCCCTACCACCGAGCCCATGCCTTCATTCCCTTCTTTTCCACTATTACAACCTCCCACACCTGCCTTCTTTTTCACTTTGTATCGAAGATTTGTTCACAAAGAAGGATGTCTAACATGAAACAAACTCCTTCGACTTTTCTGCTCTAGAGTTTCACGGTAGCCTCAATGAGCTAGATAAATTCCACTTCCTGTCTCCTCCTTGAGGGCAGTGCATTGCTTTCCTCTGCTGCTTTCACATGGTTTTAACACTTCCACCTGTATTCATTTTCTGTCCACTTAGTTTCTTAAGGGAAACAAATAATAAATGTGTTTTCACTGCCCAGAAATAATATTAATATAGCTTTTTAGATTTCTGCATACAATTCTCTTTTTTTTTTCTTTTGTCTTTTTCTTTGGAGACAGGGTCATATTGTGTAACTTGGGCTGGCCTTGAACTAGAGATCCTCCTGCCTCAGCCCAGTGCTGGGACTATAAGCATGGACCACCACTCCTGGCAAATTTTTTTTTTTTCGGGTACTGGGGTTTGGTTTGGTTTTTTATTTTTTTGTTGGTACTGGGATTTGATCTCAGGGCTTCACACTCGCTAGGCAGGTGCTCTACTTCTTGAGCCACTCCACCAGCCCTTTTTTGCATTGGGTATTTTCAAGATAGGGTCTCACAAACTGATTGTCTAGGCTGGATTTGAACTGCAATCCTCCTGATGTCTGCCTCTCAAGTAGCTAGGATTTCAGGCATGTGCCATTGGCGCAAGGCTTGGTCCTGAGGTTTGAACTCAAGCCTTTGTGCTTGCTAGGCAAACACTCTACTGCTTGAGGCACACCTCTAGCCCAATAATTCTTTTTTTTTTTTTCTTTTAATGGGAGGAAAAAACATCGGATAAAGCTCAACTCATCCCCCTTTTCAACCCCCCTCCTTAGTCATCCCACCTTCTCATCCTAATCTTCTATAGTACTTAAAAATATTTTCTCATATAAAGACATTATATTTGCCTGCAGAATGAGAACAGTTTTGTGAGTAGGAGCAAGATGGAACATGGAGAAGGACAGGATATGACTGTCAGTACTTCCATTGAGAAATGAATGATGGAGGTTGAATCTAGAGTGGTGATAGTGAATTTGGAGAACAATGGACAGACTAGAAAATTCTTTAGGACTAAAGACCTAGTTTGGGAATAGTAGGGGATTGCAGTTTTGGATATGCATACTATGCTGGACCTTCAGTATATCCAAAGGGGTTAGGGCAAATAGACAGCTTTTAAAGACAAAAATGGGAAGTCTGTGTAAACTGTTTTAAACAAAGAGTACTGATTACAGGGGTTTGTTGCAGGAGTTGGCATTAGCTTATTAGTGGAAGCAGTATTGTCAGGCATGTGTACTTGTGCCAGTGGTTTATCTGGTTTGAGGTATTCTTTGCATTGTTTCCATCATGAGGATACATGCATGAGGACTCTTAACTTCATAGCCACATGTATAAGGGCTCTTCTTCGTGACCTCACGTAAGTAACTTCATTATGCTACTACTGATAACTGCCATATTTTCCTTTTGTGTTAAAGATCTTTTTCTGAAAGCATTGCTTAGAAACCATTTCTTTTGAAAGTTTTAGCAAGGATTTATTTTAGTATAACAGGATAAAGTATAGACAAGGGGTGGGGGGAGGAAAAGAGAGAGAAACATTTCCTATTCTCCATGCAGGAAATGAGAGCAAAGACTCCTTAAACCGTTTTGAGAGTAGGTTTGATTGTTCCTGAAGAATAGGATGGACCTGTTTTGTTAGTCTGATCCTACATAAGAGAGAAATGGTAGCAATTAGGAGTTCACGTTAAAATCCTTTTTATACTGAGTGTGATGGTGTGCCTGTAACCCCCGCACTTGTGAGGCTGAGACAGGAGGATCCTGTTCTAGTCCAACCAAGGCTGCATATGGAGTTCCAGGCCACTGATCTGCATGGCAAGAGCCTGTTTTGAACAACAACAGCAAAAAGATGAAAAAGAAAAAGCCCAAACCTCTTTATAGCTACATTTGAGCAACAAGGATGACAGAGAAGGATGGGATTTCACTGTCAAGTTTAATTTTTTCTGTTGGCTTGGATATTGTTGCAAAGCATTGGGCCATCATTACTCTATTGTTAGTAGTTGCACTTCTTCAGAAGTTTGACAGGCACAAAGTTTATAAGGATAATACAGAAAAGCAGGCAGAGAAAGAAATCAAGAGAACTATCCAATTCACAATAGCCTCAAAAAATTAATTAGGAATAAACTAAGGACATGAAAGACATCTAGAGTGAATATTGTGAAACATTGAAGAAGACATTAGAAATGGCAAGACCTTCTGGGCACCAGTGGCTCACGCCTATAATCCTAGCTACTCAGGAGGCAGAGATCAGAAGGATTGCGGTTCAAAGCCAGCCTGGGCAAATAGTCCATGAGACCCTATCTTGAAAAGACCCTTCCCAAAAATCACTGGTGGAGTGGCTTAAGGTATAGGCCCTGAGTTCAAGCCCCAGTACCACAAAAGAAAAAAAAAAAAAGGCAAGACCTTCTGTGTTCATGGGTTGGCAGAATTAATACTGTGAAAATGGCTTTCATACAAAAATCAATCTAAAAATTCAGATGGAAGCATAAAAGACCTGAGTAGCCAAGCAGTCCTAAGCAAAAAGAGCAATACTGGAGGTATCACAATACCTGACATCAACTTATACTGTAGAGCCGTAGTAATAAAAACAGCATGGTACTGGAACAAAAACAGACATATAGATCAATGGAATAGAATTGAAGATTCAGAAATAAACCCACACAGCTATAGCCATCTGATTTTTGACAAAGGTGCCAAAAAACCTATGTTGGAAAAAAGACAGTCTCTTCAACAAATGGTGTTGGGAAAACTGCGTATCTACATGCAAAAGACTGAAACTAGATCCCTATCTCTCACTGTGTTCAGAGATCAGTTCAGAATGGATCAAACATATAAATGTAAGACCTAAAACTTTGAAATTACTACATGGAAACACTTGAAGATATAGGCATAGACAGTTATTTATAAATAGGATTCCAGTTGCTCAGGATATAAGAGCAAGAACTGACAAATGCAGTTGCATCCAATTAAAAAGCTTTTGCCCATCAAAGGAAGTCATTTCCAGAATCAAGGAACAACCCACAGAATAGAAGAAAGTCTTTGCAAGCTGTTCATCTGAAATGGATTAATAGCTAGACGATGTATAAAGCTCAAAAAATAAGCACTAAAAGAACAAGTATTCCAAGTAATAAGTGGAAAATGAATTGA